ATGTGACTGGATTTTTTTCAGGTTCTTCTCAATTAGACTAAGTCTTAGCCCTAGCAGGTTTTAACAGCACTAACTAGGGAACTTCTGAAAATGACTTAGAACCTGGGAAGTAGATCTGCTGAGAGGATCCCCTCTCCAAAACTGCCCTGGGAATGAGGCCTATTCCAGGTACTGCTGACAAGTGATATTCTAGTTAAGGACACCAGGATGTTTGTACTGAATTGGACATTTTGTGAACATTAGCCTAAGACAGACCCTTTTGGAAAAGAATTTCCAAAGGAAAATGTTTCCCAGAAGTGGATGACAAGTGATATTCTAGTTAAGGACACCAGGATGTTTGTACTGAATTGGACATTTTGTGAACATTAGCCTAAGACAGACCCTTTTGGAAAAGAATTTCCAAAGGAAAATGTTTCCCAGAAGTGGATGTCTTCATGGGATGGCTAAACCCAAGATAACAGAATAAGAAATATGCTATTTAAATGGATATTTGGGGTTCGTTGGCTGGAACGGGCTAAACCAAGGCAATTATGACGTAATGCCAATACTTGTTATGTTGCTTCTGTTTCACTAGTGTACTCAATACTGACCAGTATTTGCATGTGCCTTTGGAAATGTTTGTCATAAAACTAGTATTGAGGCATCCAGAGAGGAGATTGACAGGATGTATAAGAATATGGTCACAGACTTACATTTCATTTCAATCTATGGCCAAAAAGGGGTGGGGTGGGGGGATATCTTAAGAATTTTTTAAATTCCTTGTCTACTTGGCTCTGGCATGGCCATTTCAATTGTAAGGAAAATCATGTCTCTGGCTGAGGCTTTCTTTATGGTATGGGATTTAGCTGAGAATTCCAAAAATTAGCTCAAGATGATTAACTGTTTAGGAGTAATAGAACTCTAGCTCTGTTTTAAGATAACCATTTGCTAGACTAACTACTGTTATCAATTTACCAGAAATAAATTTTCCCCTTCTACTATCTTTGATATGTAAACTTCCTTCTTTCCCATTTGCCTGCTACAAATTTTACAAGCTATTTTTGAAATGTAAATCTTTACCCTTCCCTTTGGGTAGCTGCATCTTTTTTCTTCTTTTCTGCTGTAACTGGTAACTACATAAGCCTAAAGAGAACTCTGTTCATGTCTCAATGGCCATTTAGAACCCCGAGCCTGCGTCCTGAGTATATTTAAAAAATCTGAGTTTAAAATGTTGAAAAGTATCATGGGCAGCAATTCCATAAACAAATCATTGGATATGTCCATAACAGTCTTTAGTCCTGCTACTTTCCCTACCTAGAATATCTTCCCTCCTTGGTTTATCAATATTTATACATCCATCTTTCTAGCCCCAGTTCAGGTTCTTTGTCTCTCTTTTCTCTGAACCACGATTGCATTTAAACTAGTATTGTACTGTTGGACAAGTACTTCTTAAGCAGTTCATATGTGTCGGTAACATTTTCCTAAATACATTATAAGCTTTTTGAGGACAGGAAGTATGTCTTATAATTTTTTAAATCTCAGACCAGCTAGTGAACTGCTGAATATCCATCAGGCATGCTATAAGGAATTGATTTATTGATGAAACAACTCTCTTAATAAAATCTATACAGACAAGGGTGGATATGGAGGCTACAAAAAATTCCCAAGATCAGTTGTAGCTGTATAACCTGTATCGGATTGCTTGCTGTCTTGGGGAGCGGTTGGTGGAAGGGATGGAGAAAAAATTGGAATTCAAAATCTTATAAAAGTGAATGTTAAAATTTATTTTTACATGTAATTGGAAAAAATAAAATACTATTAGGTGAAAAAAGATTAATTGTTCACTTTGTAACAAACTATGAATATAACAGAAAGTAATAAAATAAAACAACCAATCATTCCCAGAATCATAAAAAATACAGAAACATGGACTCCAATATCTCCCCTAAATTTCTCTAATTCTTAACAAATAGCAGCAGAGGAACTTTTCAATATAAACAAAATATTTAATCGTCAATTTGGCCTCATCATTCTTAATTAATCTTCCTCTGTTGGGAGCGCCATTTTCATCCATGTCATCAAGGCTCAAAACTTCGCACTTATCTCAATTCTTCTTTCTTCCTTACTACTCACATAACCAAGCCCTATAAATTTCTACTTCCATAACATTTCTCACATCTGACTCATACTTTTGCCACCTCAGTTCAGGCCCCATCAGTTGTGGTCTCCCTCCCACCTTTCTAATCTATTTTTTATACAGCTGTCAAAATCATCTTCCTAATAGGTAAATACAGTCCACTTACTTCCTGACTTAAAAACCTTCCACAGTTCCAGGCATCATCACAGTAAAAGCAGAAGGGACCTTGGAGATGGGTAAACTGAGGCCCCTAAAGGACTTGATTTTGGCTAGGTCATATAAGTAGCAAATAATTGAACCAAAATTTCAACCTAGGTCCTTTAACTCCAAATATGATGCCATCTCTAAGATAAAATGCAAATGCATTAGCCCAGCAGTTAAAGTCCTCTACAATGTGATTCCAACCTCCAATATTATTAGGCATTCACATGCTCTGTGTTCCAGACAAACTAGACTGTTACACAATCTCACTTTGCTGCCTCTGTTTATTTATCCAGGTCATCTCTGCTTGCTGGATCTCTGGCTTTTGAAATCTTACGCCTACTTCAGGGAATAGCTCGAGTACCAGTGAAGCCCCCTCATTCCCTCCACCCCCTCCAGCTCAACCAAGCATTCCCTCCTTACATTTTCTTCTAGCACTTTGTCTTGATGCTTCTGTTCCCCTTACATCACTGTTTCTTTAAAAATTAAATACACAAATCATACCTAAAAAGATTGCATCATTTTAAATGACTTATTAAAAGACAAAAAAAGTATTCAACAATTTTCTAATTAGTGTGTGATGCTAAATCTCCACTGGCACATTGAAAAAAGTAAAAGTAAAATTACATTAAAAAAGAAAAGAAAAAATCAAAGCGCTAGCAAAGGACTTAGAAAGTAGAAAGATAAGGAACCAGTGTGAGATCTCAGTCAAGAATTCTTATCTCCAACTTAATTTTTCCTGATCCATTATTATGCTTTGATTAATCAACACATTAACATTTTACAAAGGAAGAAAAAGAAAGAACGTATTTTTGGGACAGACCGAACTTTAATTCTCATTGAAATCTAATTCTTTTCTTCATTATTAGGAGGTGCATATACCCACAGGCACAAACAATTCTAATATTCCAAGAGATCTGTGATCTTATCAAGATGTGTATTTTTCCCATGAGCAATAAAGGCACAAGTAATACTCTTCGAATATAAAGGCAACCATTCAGCTACTCTCAAACAATCAATAAATCTACAAGCATTTATCAAGTACTTTCTACATGCCAGGAACTATTGTTCTCTATAGATAAAAAGATAAAGATAAAAGGAGTTCCTGTTGTCCAGAAGCTCACACACTATTGGACACACTCTTGGATCTCCTGGTTCAGATCATGAGCTAAAGAGAAAACAAGGCAGAAGCTGAGGGATGATAATAGAGGGAAACAAGCATGTGTCCAGGGCAAGGGTCCAACCAACAGTTTTGGCTCTCTGTGCTAAAATAGGAAGAATAAACTTATAATAAGGAGTTTGCATTTGTGAATAATACTAGTAGCTAAGATTTATATCATTCTTCAAGGCTTACAAACTATTTTACTATATTTTAAATCATCTTAAAAATGGTCCTCACACCACTGGGAGACAGGTTCTGTTATTATTCCTCATTTTACATATGATGCAACCTAGGGTGAGAGAAGATAGTGACTTACTCTGAGTCCCACAGTTAGGAAAGGTGAGAGGCAGGAATCAAATTCAGGTCTTCCTGACTCCATGTCCACATGTTATCTACCATTTCATCAAAGCGCCGCATTTATTGAATTTTTTATTGAATGAGCAAATACATGAAAATGTCAAAATATTTACTTCATGCTAAGGAAGGGTTAATAAAATAAAGTGGTATAGAAAAAGGGTGGGAGGGTGGAGCAAAAGAATCTCATTAGAAATATGTAACACAAAATTTGGGCATTTTAATCTTAAAAAATCTATTATTTCCATTGTTTTATTATCTCAAATACTTGGACAGAGAGAAGGATGAAACTATGGGGTAACACAAATAAAACAATAATCAGAAGAGATCAACCTATAGCCAGAACAGGTTTTGGAACAGTTTAGATATATTTCAGGAATAGTCCAAATGGAATTGTCTCTATAAATCTGCAGTCTGAATAGTTCAAACAGAATTTTCTCTATAAATCTGGGGGTGGTGATGAAAGCAGCAGAAGAAAATTAGCATTTGCTTTTCATTAGCATTTCTTTTCTTTATTAATTTCTCATTTCTCAGGGTGATAATAGTTTTGATTTGTGATTTTTTTTAAGTCACTCAGTCACACACTCTACAGAGGACCTCTAAACACATACAGCAAGGCAGCAAAGGAAACACTAGAAGGCCCATATAAGACTTGCTGAGAAACAGACTGTAATCTCAGTTTTTGTTTTTCTAGCACTTGTAGTCATTCATTCAATCAACAAGCATTTATTAAATGTTTACTACATATTGGACACTGTGCTAAGTGCAGAAGATATAAAAAGGCAAAAACTGTTGTCCCTGCTTCCACATTCTAATGGGGGAGATAATATACAAACTACATACACACACACACAGAGTATAAATGGAAAGTAATCTTATAAGGAAGGGATTAATAGCTGGTGGTGAAGGAAGAGACTGTGAAAGACTTTCTATAGAGGTGAGATTTCAGTTGAGTCTTGAAGGAAACCAGGGAATCTAGAAGTCAGAGGCAAGGAAGCAGAGCATTTCAGGTATGGGACAATAGGGGATAGACTTCCAATTCAAAATCTTTTTGTTTTTCTCTTAACTCATAAATAAAATTGTCAGAAGTATTAGGACAAGAGGACAAAGTACAGAGTAATGGAATCTATAGGAAAATACCAGAGAGAAACAACAGATTTAACTCACCCAGAAATATGGTTGCCAAGATCCACAGCTCCCAAATCAAAGAGAAAATTTTGCAAGCAGCCAGGAAGAAACAGATCATGTGCCAGGGGACTCCATTCAGACTCTTCCAGTTGGCCTCCAGCTTCCCCAGGTAGCCATCTACCACTGGCACCATACTGCAGGAGATGAGCACAAGAGGGTACTGAGAGTGAAAACATAGGTTGAGTGGCAGGGAATGTTTTAGATGAATCAGTAGGTCAAGTTGTTATTGCAAAACTCCATATGGCCGGAGCTACATGGTATAACAATGGAAAAACTGCTCTTCCATCTAATGATAGGACTGATAACAGGAGAAATGGTCATCTCTGATTAACCATCATGCAATTGGAGCTGAAAGGCATATATGAATCTTACCTTGAAGGGCAAAGAACAAGACAAACCAATATCATTACATAATCAAGGCCCCAACCTGATGTGAGATGGGATGAGAGGTTATAAAGGTATAAGATTACAGCCAAAGCATATCAAAGCCAAACCACATAAAAGTGCCAAAGGGAGCTAGTATGGAGGATGGAAAGAGCCATTTTTATGAGAATATTAATCACTAACAATATTAAATTATATCCTTGCAAGAGCAGCAGCCCCAAAAACCCTTTTGGTTTGGGATTTTCCCTGCTGAATCTGTCACTTGAATACATTATTCACAAGAGAGAAATATCAACTAATATAGAGCTAACACAATTTCCACACAGCAACGTGGAGGGTCTTGACTAGCACTGTGTACTCTGCTGTCAGGCAACTGTGGTATAGCCTCAGCAATACCCATCCAGTGGGGCTGGGGGGAGGGAATCTTTTATGACACATGGAGCAGTAATACGATATTATCCCTCAATTTGGTAGAGAGTTTCCTTTACTTAGAAAGCAGAAAGGTAGACCCTGAGAGTAGGGGCCCTAATGTTGTCAGATCACCTTGACAAGATCTAGATAGGGTTGAATGGTATAAAATTTTCTGGACATAATATTGCTTACATGAGTAGCATTGATTAGGTGGTGAACATTCTATTTTCCATGGTAGGGGATCTACTCACTGATTGCAGTGGCCTGGAACACTTACTAGGGAGAAGAGGGGTAAGGCGCTCTTATCTATTACTAGTTAGGTTATAGAACCTCTAGCTTTTTTTTTTAATGTGACCGAACTACCATGGGGTGCCAGCTTCACCTTCAAGACATGAAGTCAAACACTAACATCTCCCTTGACATCCATTAGTCCTTTTCTCAAATTGTAAATTGTTCCTTTTAGCTATAAATAACTTCTGTGCGGGGCGGCTCAGTGGTGCAGCGTATAAAGCACTGGCTCTGCAGTCAGGAACACCTGAGCTCAAATCCAGCCTCAGACACAACACTTACTAGCTGTGTGACCCTGGGCAAGTCACTTAACTCCAACTGCCTTGGCCTCCCCCCAAAAAAACTGACTCTTAATAACTTCTGTGAAAAAAAAATATGCATAAGACCCAAGTACTTTGTGTGAGGGATCCCCTTGGGAAACAACAGCCCCCATTGCTGTGTTCGAAGTATTTATTTCCACAAAAAGGACTTATTCCTATCCAAAGAGGGAAAAATAGAAAAAGGTGAAAAATAATATTTGGTTTGAAACATTAAAAATTTCCAGAAGATAAGACATATCCAAATTCAAGTCTAAATATTAAGAAGCCATCGTAAAACAAGCAATCTGAAACCATTCTGGAGTGATGTTGTTTTGCAGTATCTGTACAGATCCCCTCCATAAGCCTGTGGATTCAAAGGTTGTTTGTAATTTGAACAGGACCAGACACTCCACATTTTGTTTTCCAATTTCCATTCATTAGTTTTGTCTCTTCTTAGAATGAGATGCTACACTAAGTGATATGAACTGTACGGTGGGCAAGCAGGGGCTTCACATTTTTATTCACTCACTGAACTTAAAGTAGGGGTGCCCCAGTGAGATTTCAGCAAAAGCTGACAGTCTTCAGAGGCTAAAAAACAGATATTAAAATGTAAAGGGAAAAGCCTGCAGATGCAGAATAAACATTCTCTACCCTAAAAAGGGGAAGAAGCTTGAATACCTCAATTGTCATAGACTGTATTCAAATCTTTAACCCTAGTCACCGCTACTGAAGGCTCATAAATTTCTTGATACCAAAGTCCTTGGCATTGTCAAATGGTTGAAACACCAGAAATTGATATTTTATCAGTGAAAATGACACTAACGCAGCATTAGTATCTGCTCTGCTGCTGAACGCTAAGGACCATGGGAGCTTTCCACCTGACTTGCGGCTCAAACCTTTCATATGTGTCATCTTCCCCATGAGAATGAGAGCTCCTCAAGAGTAGGGATTAGCTTTTCTATTTGTATCCTCAGGACATAGCAAGGGCAGTGCTTATGAATTAATGAATAAATAAAGCATTTATTACTTAATAAATTTACAAGGAACATGAGGTGAAATTAACTGAAATAAAATGCTCTAAGGCAACCAGGCAACCAGGAATGGTTTACAGGAGGAAAGAGGTTTGAGCCAGGAAAAAAAATTGTCAAATGAGAGAAGCCAGACCTTTCCCATCTCCTGCATAGAGGTGACAAACCACCTCAGAGCTGAGAGAGGCCGAGCTTTTGCCAAAGCTAAGCTGAGGTTTGCTGCCCTGCTTGAAACATTTCTGTAGTACTCTAGCTTAAACAGGCAGAGTGTCACCTGACCAAGCCAGTGGCTGATAGCGGGGAAAGACTGCAACTACCCTTTCAAGGACAGGCCTCTGAAGCCAATAGATCAACTTGTCTAGTAGAGATGCTGGCACCCTGAGAAGAGCCCAATGGCTGAGTCACCTGCCTGCCCCAGCCTGATAGCAGCTGCCCCGTGTCCAAGAATTCATAAATGAAAAATGCCCATATTAACCAGAACCCAAGAAGCAAAATGAAAATGAACATAATTTGCCACCTCTTGAAATAAACCCTAAAATGAAAACTCCCAAGAACGTCACAGCCAAAATACAGAGATTCCAGGTCTAAAATAAATATTGTACGCAAATAAAAAGAGTTCAAATATAAATGAACCACAGCCAGGATCTCAGTAGACTTGGCAGTAACAATATAAAGACAAGAAAATCTTGGAATATGATGTAATATGACATTCCAAAATATAAAAGATAACGGCTTAAAACCAAGAATAAGTTATCCTGAAATACTGAGGGAATCCTACAGAGTGAAAAGTGCACCCAATAACAGAATAGAGGATTTTCAAGAATTCCTAAGGAGAAAATAGATGTGAGTAGAAACTTTGAATTGAACATATGAGTTGAGACACCATAAAATGTTAAGCATACTTTAGCAAGTAGAAGAGGCTAGCCAACAATAATAGGAGGAAAAGAGAAAAATATCTCAGAGGGAGCTAGATAAAACAAATCAGAGGACTGGGTATAGTTTTGTTCTGTTTTGATGATATTGAGAGGAAAGAAAAAGGAAAGGGAAAATACCCTAGGAAAGAAATAAAGGGGACTGAATTTAGTAGATCTCGTACTTGGAGTGAGTGAGAGAGTATACAAACATGGAAGAAAGGGTTAAGATTGGAGTGAGATTCACATGAACCGCTCATTTTTATCTGTACCACATGAACACACACACACACACACACACACACACAAGTTTGGTATAATAAATAATACAACAAATTCATCAGGGGAAAAGGTCTGGATCACGTAAGGGAGGAGAAGGTTTACAAGGTAGGAAGGCGTCACAGAGAGAATATCTACGAATCAAAGGAACTTCCCCTTCAGAACCTCTGGCAGTTCACATTTGATACTGTAACCAAATGAGATGCTCTAAAGTCATTCAATAGTTAACAGCAGGATATTTACTTAGCCATAGCGGGAGAAGGATATTCAACAATACACAATGAGAACAGTGAGTTGCTGAGGGAAGTAGTTGCTTTTTCTGCATTGCTGATCGTTTTCTGCCAGCCGAGCATCAGTGGCTTGTACTCAGACAACCAGGAAGAAGGGTCAACAGACTGAGACTACAGGCTGATGAGCCAATCAAGTTGCTGGGAGTGTAGCCATGCCTTTTAAGGAAAAACTAACCTAACTTGAATGAGGGCAGGGGTTAGGATACTGTTCTTACCACAGCTAGCTAAGTGACTTGACTAAGATCATACAGGCAGGACACTACAGAGGCAAGATTGACACTCAGAGCCTCTAATTACCAATCTAGTGTTCTTTACATAGTTCTGCACTGCCTATGAGGAAACAGTTTCAAATTTAAGGAGGTGAAAAGGACAAAGCTAAGAGCGGAAGACAGTGTGATGGAAGAAGACTTGAGCAGAAGGATCTGAGGAGTAGATGAAGGAAGAGAAGATGAGATGCCCGAGGGGAAAGGTAGATATCCCAGAGAATAGTAAAGGTATAGAAAGAATACTGGTTGAGACACTTAGAATTGTACAGGAGAAAAAAATTTTAAAAAATCCTCAGCCTAAGATCCATAAAGTACCAATCAATTTACAAAGATTATTAAGTACCCTTTATGTGAAAGTTGGCAGAATAAAAGAAAGCAGTTCAGTGAGCTCCCCTCCCTCTCAGACCAAAAAAAAAAAAACCTCCTCCAAAAGGATCTAGAAAACACACCAAACCAAATCTTGATAGAGAAATGCAGAAAAAGTTACAGTGAGTCATTTATCCTGACAAGATCAACATAAGGAAACAGACAAAGAGGTCTGTGCACACTAGGGGCTAGGACTAAGAGCACTGTGAAAGTGGAGCACTCCAACACTCAGGGAGGAGGGGTACTCCAAAGCAAGAGGAGATTCCAGACCTATCCCAGACCTATCCCAGTGCACTGCATGCAGGATGCAGAAACAGGTCACCTTTGTTGCCCACTACCCAATTCCGTATAATAAATCCAAGGGAATTAAGAAGGGGACCTGTGCTCCTGGCCAGAGAGGTCCTGAGCAAGTTCAGAAGCAAGCAGCAGCTGTGTGGCTCAGACCCCAGGAGCAGATTGGAGTCTCCCTTTAAGCATCTAGGCCACCCTGAAGCCTGCCGAGAAACAATCAGAGCAGCAATCCCTGCAATTGTCACTCTGAACCAGTAGAGCTATCCAGCTGGCTGATGGGGGCTGAGTTGAATAAACAGTGTTTTACTGTTGCTTAGACGC